CGGGCCCGCGGCGCACGCGCACCTGAGGGGGCGTGGCGACGGAAGGGGCGGGGCCCCGCCCCCGGCCGCGCGCTGTGCGCAGGCGCGAGGCTCGGTGCGGCCTCGCCGGGAGCGCGCGGATGCTGGCCAGTGTTGTGCAACCGGGCCGCTAGTGTCGCTGAGTCTGGGGAAGTTGGTGCGGTTCGGGCAGGCCGGCGTGGGACTGCGGTTGTGTAAAATCTCTCAGAGGGTGGAGTTGACTGCGCAAGGCAAAGGCCGGGCTGTCTAAACCACTTAAAAATTTAAACAAACAAACAAAAAAAAACCCAAAGCCGCCCTCACGTTCTCCTGGTGCGTTTGCTTGCCAGCTTTATAATAGGTTTAATTCTCTGTTGCTCTTTTCTCAAGGTGCGCATCAGCCCTGTCCGTAGTTCATGTGTAACGTGAGGCACTACATCAAAAGAAAGAAAAAGGGAAAATGGTTTGTTTAGAAATAAATGCTGGCTGATAAATAGTCCTATGACTATTGTCCTATGACAAATACTGTGCGTGGGTATTTGTGTGTGGGTGTATGCCATTAAATGATCCGGAACACACTAAACATAGTTAAATACATGTACAGTATACACTCTTTGCTCCGGTAAAAACTGGGGTTTTGGGGGGACCTGGAGCTGAGGTTTGAGATGCTCAGTGGGACAGCATTCCCCCACTCCAGGCTTGAAAGGTATTTCCTTTTCCTTTGAAGAATACAATGTCTTACTAGACCCCAATAAGTCGGCGAGATCCCTCCTTCCTGCTGAGGTGGTGTCACATGTCATATATGAGTTACCAAATATCAAAACACATTTTAAATACCTCTGCATTGAAGAGCTCCTGAATATCAAAATACACTGAAAGCTAAGAATTGTGCACATTAAGAGCCTATAGCATGGTTACACATTGCTGGGCACTTTTTGGGGGACACGCAGGTGTATGTTGTGACCTTCAATGTGCCTTCTCAAACCCGACTTACATTATAGCTCTGAGGGGCCTCAGGTACCCTCACAGATCTCGGCTGGTCAAACAGGTTCTCCTGAGAACCACTTATATGAGGCATGTCAAGTCTTTAATTAGACTGGACAGAGGCCTACTTCTGTCCTGATGGAGCAACTGAACTCAGGATTTCAAAACTCGTGTGGTCGTGCCACGTCTACTAAGTGTGTTCCCTGTGAAGTTTGTTCGTGTTATTCTCTCTCTGTATTCAGTGTGAGCAAAAGGCAGAAGTTCCCATTGTGTAGCAATAGGCTGTGTGATTTGTGAAATCATATTTTGCTCATCTTCTTTATTTCCACCAAACAAACCACTAAGGAGCTGGAAAAGATGTTCAGGGCTTTGATTTCTGATTGACTCATTTGTCTTCCTTCTTTGTACAAGGGTCTATAATTACAGGAAAACGGCCTTTGCTGCTCAGACCGTGTGTTTTCTGTTGGACCTGTTTCTCTTTTGCCTTTTGGATTGCATCTGTGGTCTGAGACGCAGCCGGAGTTCCAGCTGTGAGTAGCTTTAAAGCTGACTCTCTTCTCCCATCCCCACTTTTTTATTCTTATTTTACGTGTAGCCGTGTTTTGCCTGCGTATGTCTGTGCTCTGCGCACCATGCGTGTTTGGTGCACCGTGACTATCCCATTAACTGGAGTTAAAGACTTGCCAGTTAACATGTGCGGGCTGAGAATCAAAGCCAGGTCCTCTGAAGAGCAGTGCTTGTACACGCTGAGCCATCTACTGAGCAGTCCCAGTAGAGGAATTTTTAAAGGCCAATAGGATTTCAAGATTAAGGGCTTTCCCTTGTTTCATACCTAGACAAAGGCTGTGTGTTGCAGCCTGAGGAACAATCCCTAGGACCCCTGACTTTATGTTCTAGCTGTGCAAAGACTTGTAGTTCCCGAAACACGTCACTGTGGTTTCATGCTGTCGGAGACATTATTTCTTCTTCCTGAAATGACCTCTTCCTTCTGCCTCTTGTTCTGGAAAACACTGCATTGGTCTTAAAATGCCATCCCCTCAGCTGTTTCCTCTGTAAGACCTGTCTTGGCTGACTGTGGGATCTTTCTGTTTCTCGTGCATAACACATATATACATTGTTTTTTATGCTACTGATACTGACTTCCCAGTAGGGTTTGGGGCCTTCACAAAGGCCAGGACTACTCGGCTGCTCTTTTCACATGCCTACCTCAACTAGAAGAATGTTGTACTCGATATCTCGATATATAATGAAGCAGTTTTTTACTATTCCACAGTAAAGGACTGTATTATTATTAATCAAACACTTGCTCAAAAAAGTCCACTGGGCGAATGGGGCAGCCCTTGCTGTTGCACTCTTGGGCGCAGCACAAGTGCTTGGTTTTTATGCTTTCTTTTATTTTCTTTTTCCAAGGCAGTGTTTCCCTGTGTCCCCCTGGCTGCCCTGGAACTCGCTCTGTAGACCGGGCTAGCCCTGAACTCACAGACATCTGCCTGCCTCTGCTGGGATTTAAAGTGTTCGCCACCACCTCCCAGCAGATTTTTACCGAGCCTCAGCTGTTCTTAACTGCTACCCTTGGCTCACACTTCTGAGTCCTTCTTATGCATGGACTGCCCAGAACTGCTCCATTTCCTCTTCTCTAGATGAGCTGGCAGGACTTATCCTCAACATTTATCTTTTGTGGGGGGGGGGGGGGAAGAACGGCAATATCTTTACCTCTTAATCTTTTTAGTATGGGAAATTCCAAACAGTTCTCAGAGTAGAGAAACTAACAGAATGAAGCTTGAAGCTCCCCTCACTTAGGTTCAAGAAGGACCAGCACATGGCCATCAGTTTAGGTCGATGCCTGTCTCTTCTATTACGTTACTCTAAAGGACATGCCAAACATCATCCAATCTTGTAATAATTCTAACATGTGCCCATGATGGTTACTTTTTGTTAAGTTGACTGGATTTGGAATCACCGTGGAAACACATCTCTGAGCATGTCTGTGACGTATTTCCACAAAGGTTTAACTGAAGAGGGTGCCAGCGTCCCATGGGCCTGGATCCCAGAACGCATAAAAAAGCAGAAAGCAAGCCCAACAGTAAACTTAATCTCTCCCTCTACTTCTTGTCTGCAGATGGAGTATGGCCAGCTGTCCCACGGGAGCATCATTCTCACTTCCTGGTCATCACAACCGTAGCCTCGGACTGGGAGCCATAGTAGACCCTTCACGCCTTATGTGGCCTTTGTCAGTGTCACAGCAACAGGAAAAGCATTTGTCTTCAAAAGAAGATTGGTACCAAGAGTGAGGCTGTGGCTATGATCAACCTGACTGTGTACTTGGAAGGCCTTTAAAACCTCGTGGGAGGAACATGGAAGAGTTTGGAGCTTTAAAAAAAAAAAAAAAAAAATCCAGGATCGCTGGAATGTTGTTAGCTGAGCTCAACTGGCAGGCTTGTGGGAGTTTGGAGAATGCTGAGGGAAAAAAAAAATGTTTCATGGGGAACAAAGCCTACGAGGAACCGGGATAGAGGGCTTTTGTACTATACAAAGAATCGGGCTTCGTTCTGCCTCTTTCTTCAAATTTACGTGAAGCTAAATTCAAGTGTTTGGTGGAGGACATTGCCAGACAGCAGGGCAGGCAGGCTCTGGCACACTGTTCTCAGGCCTGCAGTGAGAGCAGAGCGATGTCAAAAGACGCACTTTGCTGAGAAAAACAAACGAGGACGAGGAGGTTGCAGACAACAAAGCAGGTGTAATTGTCAGTGAGGTTAGCAACCCACGTTCTTCCCTGGGACAGAAGGACAAGTGTCTGTGGGGAGACTGCGCTCACCACCAAAGGCTCCAGCTTGTGAAAATGTAGGTTAGTAGAAAGAAGAGAACCTGTTCTTAGGGTGTCACCATAGCAGACCCCTGCCCCAAAATGTTTCCCCAGGGCCAGCCAGGAAAACATACAACTGGCACAGCAGGTGTGGTCCAAGGGGTAGGGCGGGCTATGTCTCAAGCTGATGGCAGATCTGGCTAAGACATCCATGAAGTGTTTGTTTTGTAGGCAAGAAAGATACAAAGTAACAGGGCTGTAGTTGCTTGAACCTAGTTCAGCAAGCCAGCGGGACAAGGCAATGAGCTGCCTTGTCAGAGTCCCTGCAAGGAAGACTTGCTAGGCGTAAGGCCAAGAAGATGACACCCAAATCGCAGTGGAATTCCAATTGTGCTGGGAATGGCAAGAACAAGGATGTTTGCAGAAAAAAACGTCTGTAGGCCCTAAGTAGAGCTACACCAACAGAGCAGCTGTGGGTGCTGTGGGAAGCAGAACTGGAAGGGTGAAGAAGACCAAGCCCAGTGGGCCCATCCTGAGCACAGACACTGGATAGGGATCTTCAGGATTCAGTGTTTTCTCTGCTTGGTTTCAGTCTTGCTTCTGTTCTGTCTTTCCTTGCTTTGCCCGTACTGGAGTGAGAAAGTTTACTATTTTAGCTCCTTTTATCTCCTTGTAACACTATATTCTGTTTGCCCTTCCTTGGAGGAGTCCCTCCAAACCACTGGTCTCTCCTGAGACCCCTAACCTCTGTGGTTGTTAGGACTGAAACATGCACATCTAACGGTCAAAAGCTAATGTCCACATATAAAAGGA